TAGAATTACGCAGTAAATCAGCAAACAGTAGCAAACAATAACTGTTCAGTCACAGGCACTCACAGTCAGTAATCACAGTTAGTCACAGCAACACACAGTAAGTCGCAGCAGCACACAGTAAGTCGCAGCAGCACACAGTTACAGACAGCAAGCTTTCCAGCTTCTAATGCTTCCTTATATTGTAACTTCTAACCGCACCCTTAATCGGCTAATTGCCTGCTGCATTGTGCTTAAAGTGATAAGCACTTAAACCATGATATCTAAGTTTTATATATTTATTCACCCAAACCATATTTGGTATCAATGTTATACCTAACAGCCGCCATCTTTTTTTGATGAAAAAGTGCTTCTGGTGAGCTTTCTACCCGGAAAAGCTCACCGGAAGCACTTTTTCATCAAAAAAAGATGGCGGCGCCCAGCAACCAGCGGCCCGGTAGGACTTGTTCCTCGGACCGGTACCGGTCCGCGGACCGGTGGTTGGGGACCCCTGCTGTACAGCATAGGATGAAGCACAGTAAGCTATGTTTTGTGATTTTGAATGTTTTTCACTTGCATTTTCCTTCAGTTGTTTTGTTTCTTTGAGTGAACTCATTGTTCCCAAATATGTTACAAGAACCTCAATTGTAAAAGGAGGACCTGGGAAGAGAGAAGCTGTATCATGTCCCATACCTCATTGTTGTGGGGATTTATATCCTATTTTCCTTTAAAATTAAAACAAAATTTAAATTTAAAATTAAAGCATAATATCATTACAGCCAGCCAGGAATATCTTCAAAAGATGTATTGGCTATGCTATGTTATCACCCAACTCTTTTCCAGTTTGAAATTGTTTTGCTTTCTGTTTCATCTGAGGTAATGTGACTTGGTGGAACTTGAGAAAGTTAAGAATAGTACATTCAAACTAGAAATTAAATCAATGTTTATTAAATAACTTGGTTCCTTTAATATTGCAATCTTCATAAACTATCAATCCCTGCCATTCCTGGCAGTAATTATATACTCCCCATTGGAATAAAATCTGGGAGGAGCTGTCTTGTATTACTTTGCTTCCTGTGACAGTTCTTATAGCCAGTCATCCCAAGATAAAGTGGAAAAAGGTGGGCAGGATTATCCAAATTCCATTAAATATTATTTTGTTGTTAATAAACCATCACTGACTGGATTCACATATCATGCTAAGTCATAATGGGTTTGTTTTTGAAAGATTCCAAAATCCATTTTTGAAAAAAACAACAATAGATTTTGGACTCCATTAACCACATCTCATCGTGCAGTAGAATTGCCTCTGTTTTCGTGCCATTTAGAAAAAATGGTAAAGACTTTTCACCAGATATGTAATTATTAATACGTTATAGTATTAGATTTTTAAAATATGTTAACATTTTGGTTTATTTTGTTACTAACCATGCATGGAAGGCCAGATCCTGAAGATGAAACTCAAATACTTTGGTCACTTAATGAGAAGGAAGGACTCACTGGAGAAGAGCCTAATGCTAGGAACGATTGAAGGCAAGAGAATGAGGTGGCTGGATGGAGTCATTGAAGCAGTCAGCGTGAGCTTAAATGGACTCCGGGGGATGGTAGAAGACAGGAAGGCCTGGAGGAACGTTGCCCATGGGACAGTGATGGGTCAGACACGACTTCGCAACTAACAACAACAACAAACCATGCATAGCATTCTAAAGCAAAAGATATGCTATCAGTCAGTCAATCAATCAAATAAATCTTGTTGACAATCTTGGCCATGCTAAAATTTCAGCCTGCTGAATCCTCTGTCCAAAAGCTACCAGTAATAACCGGAGATAAATTGATGCCAATTTTGCAAAATGCTGACAGGTCCTGATTTCACCATTTATATTACGAGAAAGGGTAGAAAACTGGTAGAAAAGAATTCATAATTCCTAACCCTCTTACAGGTTCAAATCAGAAGGCCTTTTCTCCTCAGCCTGCACTTCAGATGGTTTTCTTCCTATTACTTTTAATCAGATAGACAAGTATGATAGCTGCAGGGCTGGCATGCAGTTTTACCCTTTCTGACAGGAAAATGAGTAGTTAAAGATCATTTGGGAGCTGTTCCAGCTTGTTTTTTTCTTTTACCACCCACTGCAAAGCTGCAATAGCAATTATCCAAAATATTCTAGGGAGGCCCTTGTTGGCACAATGTTGCTCCACAGGCCAAGATGGAGCACTCCTATTTAATTTCATATACATTACAAGTTTTCTTTACAACTCAGAATAGTGAAGCTCACTGGCTTAGCAGAATTTGAATACTGGCTAAATGCCACTCCAAAGAATAGTACTTTGCAAAAAGATTGTGTGGTCTGAATACCCAGGAAAATAATATACTTTCAAAACCCCACACATTATTTTTAAACTGCAAAGCCAACACCCAGAAATTTTAAAGGCTGTGGTTCATGACAAAGAGATTCTACAAGCTGCATGTCTTTTTGCCTAGAGGCTCTAAAAACACTGTCACAAAACAATAGCTTTGAGCTATTTCTTGGCTTTAGATAGGAGGGAATGAAAACGGAAAATTGCTGGAACACATGCAGCCCAATCCTCAGTCTCACAGAATTCAGTGGGATTTATTCCCACACAAGCCTTTTCAAATTGCAAATTTATACAATGTTTTCATGTACAATACAGCAAAAGGGCACCATCAGCCTAAGGGAAACTTCTATATAATAATGTAAAACACCTTGAAGTTATTATAAAATAATTTCAGGAGTGGAGTAATTGCAGCATGTTGTATCCATAATTGACATGTGCCTTTAATTAATTGATTAATTAATTATATTCAACAACATGTATAACAGACCCAGTTCTAGAAAAGTTTGGGCAGGCAATGACAAAGTTTAATTAAGTATGTCATAACATAGAATGTAAGTATGGTCTATTTAAATGTATTGATTGTATACAGCACAGCCTTTTGGAAAAACTTTAGAAAACAATCAACTTAAATACATTTACTCAGAAGAATGCTTGACTGTGTTAAATAAAGCTTGTTCTCAGAAAATTGTACTTAGAATTGATGCCTAATTTTGTCCTGGTACAAAAGTTCTTTTGTTGCATCAAATTAAATTAAAACAAGTATTTATTATCAGTGAAAATATAAAAGTTATACATTGTACCTATATGTCTGTCTTTTAAATTTATTTCTAATTTTTCACCATAAATGGAGGCTCAAACCCATAGGCATCTGTTTTTATGTGGTAAGATTTTATTTACTAATGGTTTGAGTCACTGAACTTTATTTCTGATTTGATTAAAGGTATTTAAAAAAATATGCCTAATATAACATCCCATTCTGTTTGTTGAATTATGTTGCAAAAATCCAGAATAAAATAACCTGATGGATAATTAAATTGATCTAGTGGAATTAGAGTCACGCACATAAATCAGATTAATTTGGCCAGACAAAAACTAAGAAGAGCATTCCATATAAATATCTAGTATAAATTGAATAGGAGAAATATCATCGTAAAGTCTTTATTATTTTCAATAGGGTAAGCTGAGTGCTTCTGTAATCACCTATTTATAGCCAATATTTATTTAAAGAAAAGGTTTTTTAAAACCATCCATTAAACAGATAACACACAGAAAAGAATCTGTGGAATCAAAAAAATTTCAAGACTACTCAGACTGAAGAGTGCAAGAGCCAAATTGTAATGCATCTTGAAACAAATTATTGGAATATAACTGTTCTGACTTTAGAATGACCATCATTTGAACCTAAATGTCTGGTTACCGAGTTGTTCTGGAAACACAGAGGTTCATATTTCCTCTGTACAATTAATCAAATCAGTCACTAACTTAGTCAAGCAACAGAACCCAGCAATGGTTTCACAGCACACAATCACGCTAAGTGGGGATTTGAGTTTAGACGATCCCAACTAATTCTCCTGCTCCCCTCCCAAGAAAATGCCTAATATCCCATGAGCCTGTTGGGAGAAATGCCCATCTGTTCAGAGTAATAAATGAAGGAAAAAATAGATTTGCTTTGCCTGAGAGACTGCATTGTATTATAAATGCTGACTTTCCCCAACTTTTATGGGGGAGGGGGGCAGAGGATGCCTTTAAGTTAGTACTGACTCCTAGCAATTGCCAGGACAAATTCCTGCAGTTTTCTTGGCAAGATTTCCAAAGCGATTTGCCGCTGCCTCCTTTCCAGGGGCTGAGAAAGAATGACCTAAGGTCGACCCCCCATTTGATTTCATGCTTAAGATAAAAGTAGAGCTCACCGTCTCCTGGTTCCTGGCCTAATGCTTTACGTTGTATTAGAGCTGCATGCAACGTAATTTCATTTTAATGTATGCCGATTAGTGTACATTCAAAGTGACAAAGTATTCTACTCTGTTCTATCCTATCCTATCCTATCCTATCCTATCCTATCCACTTTAACTTAACTTTTAACCACTACACCAAATCGGCTCTCTCTTTGTCTCCGCATGGAGACAAAAGCAAGTTTTACAGTCACCTCGATACTCTGAAAACGTTTGCGCAACCACGGACGGCCAATCCCCAGGAATAGGCTAATTCCCCCCTCCCCTCCCCCAATAAGACTTCTATGTAGGATGCGTCTCCTGAGAAGTGACTCTTTACGATTATACATCTATGGTGATTTCCTTTCGAAAGTAGTGTGGCTCAGCCACCAATAGCCTTTCTTAGAGACCTGATGCCGTACGGAAAGGTTATTCTCGCGAGATTTCATCGGCTGCGACGAGATGGTGGTACCGGTAGGAAAGCGGTGGGAAGGGTGGAGTGTGGCAATAAAGCGAGCGGGGGTGACGGGGGCTGGGAATGGCTTTTCTCAAAATTTAAAGAGCTCTTTTAGAGCAGAAACTTTCGCCCGAGGAAGGTTATGTCAGACTATTGATCTTTTAATGCGGAGATCTTGGCAGCATAAGTTTATTTACCTGTATCCTAACGTCTTGTTTTGCTGCTGACCTTTTAAGCAAATGTCTTACCGTTCGGTATGCATAAATACACTTGGGGTGGGGGGCGGTTGCTGCCTTCCGAGTGGGCTTCATTCGCAAAGTTGGCGTGTAAAGCCTCGCTGAAGTAAGTTAAAAGGTTGGGAGAGCGGTTTCTACCTCGCCTCAGTGCGCAGTTTTTATATACATATATAACAATACAAAAGATACACATATAGAGATGGATTCTTTTCAGAGAGAAAAGATAGGCGACTTGACTCCCGACCTCCCCAAATTTATGCCTGAGACACCCTAAAGGGGTACACAGGAACTTGCGAGGGTGATCATATAAGGCTGCAAAAGGCTGGATAAGCAGTAGGTAGCAGCAGGTAGTTAGACTGCTTTTGTGTCACTCCTGTCACAATGTTGCGGTATTTGGATGACTGCGGGCGGGAGATGGCAGCTCAAAATCAACTCAAATGAGATCCCAGTGCTTTTTAAAATTGCCTTCCTCCGTCTCATGCCTTGTTTCTTCACCTTAGTGCAGAGGTCTTCAAACTTGACAGCTTTAAGACTCATGGACTTCCACTCCCAGAATTCCTCCTCCAGTCATCTTAGCTCAGGAATTCTGGGAGTGGAAGTCCACAAGTCTTAAACTTGCCAAGTTTGAAGACCGTTGCCTTAGTGGCTTGGAGATTGGAGACTTCAACTCCAAGAATTCTTCTGCCAACATGCTACTGGAGGAATTCTGGAGTTGAAGTCCACCCATCTTAAAGCTACTAAAGTTAAGCACTGATCTAATAAGTCAGAGTACTGTATATAAAGCACTTCATTATGTCTAAGACAGCAAGAAGCCAAACAGAGGAAACCTTTCTGTGATCCTTTAGGAGGGTTTGCTCAACACATTAAACCTGAAACAAGTCAATTTGACTTTACTGTTTTATGCAAGCTACTCATATGTTGACGTTTATAGTTTAGGTAGGCGTTTGGAAACCCAGAAAATTGCATTAGTTAACAATATGGTGAGCTCTATGTGTAAATCATTGCAAGAACAGGAATTACGTTTTAGGAATATGTCTAGCTGAAACAGTATGAATGTGTTATGACCAAATTATGATAATGTTGCATGAGTTGCTGGGGCTTAGTTTTGTTTTCATCTCAGATTCTTTCCCCACATAATCTATTAGCTATTGAGTAGGTGGTATGTAGTTTGCTAGCTGTTGTCTAACAGGTGGCAAATTAAATAGAGATTGGCTTGGTTAATATTGGATGTGAGACCACTAGGAAATCACAGGACTGGGCAAGATTGGAAAGAAAAAAAATCTAGAAGGCAGAAATTACTTCTTAAGTACTTATGCATTGCTAGCAAGTAAACAGAAGGCTGTGTTGCTAAGAATTGAGTTCAATTTGTGGATGTGTTTAATTTATTAATCAGTGAATCAATGTCTTAAGTCTTGGTAGTAATGAGATCTAAGCAGGGTATTGATACAGTAATAGTAAAATGATTTTGTCAACAGCACAAAGACAGTAATTTGGACAAATTTTGCAATCAAGTTTATAAACAATCTTCAGGATATTCAAAGTATCAAAGATTGCTCTCTGTGGGTATACAACCCTCTTTCTCTAGTGATATGGAATTTTCTGAATTTTTCAAAAATCGCAAAAAGTCTGCAGTTACTTTTTCTTTCTCAAATTGAAGTTTAATTGATGGATTTGTATTGTATTTGCCTACCTGTTTTGGATTTTTAAAATTTTTGGTATGGGTTTTTGTTTGATCATTGATGGTATACCTATTGTTCCTTTAATTCCCCCCACTCACCCTTTTTATGGGCATTTGGAAATATATTCCTACATGTAATTAGGAATATGTGACTTTTAGAGGTAAGTTATATTTTATTACTTACCTTGAAAGAGAGAATAATGCTGGAATCAATGTTTCAATATTATGGAAGTACATAAGAGATCAAAAGTAAAATTGCCACTAATGCATTTTAATAGCTATCTAATTATTATTGCATTTTTAATTCCTCATTGAACACCTGCAATTGAGACTAGAAACTCCCTTGGTAAGCAATGTGTTAATTAAATGAAACATTATGTGAGACTGCTAGGCTTACAATATTCTGCTTTATTTGTCAAGTGAATCACCTGGTATTGTTAAGAGTGACATCACATGATTGGCCCTTTGCAAGTTTCCCTACCAATTTCTCCATTGATTTCCTTGTCAGAAGCCTGACCATAGGACACTGTGACAGTTGTAAATATGTGCTGGTTGTGAAGTGCCCAAATTGTGATCACATGATTGTGGAGACACTGGGATAGTCATATGTTCAAGGACTGATGGTAAAGCTACTTTTTCATAAATTTGAACAGTCACTAAACAAGGCAGTTGTTAATCGAGGACCACTTTACATCTAAAACAAGAGAAAGTCAGGATTCTCCCATTGATTTTCTGTTCTTTAGCAAAATAATTATTTGAAAACTGAACAGAATGGGAATTTGAATTCAAAATTAGAAATAGAACAGTTGTGACTGGGGAATGTGAGGAAGAAAAAATCGAGGAAGAAATCCCCAATACATCCCTATTAAAAAGTGAATTGGATGGTGATTTCTCCATTCTAATTCCTCATTCATCTTCTTTGCCAGTGACGTGATTAAGAGAGAAGCTCTTCATAAAATGCGGAAAAAAAGATTCCTGTAACCATGGTCTTTGCTGATATCAAGCCTTTCTAACCTGGAAAAAGATTAAGAGGAAGATGATGGAAATGTATACTATTGTGGATGGTGTGGAATAACAGGTGTTTTATTAAAGATGGTAAAGGTGACCATTAGCGTGGGCAATTTTAAAGAGAGGTTAAATATATTCAAGGATTATAAGGTGGTAATTGGCCTACTGTCAAAAATTATAAATGCTTATATCTAATATCAGAGGCAGCAGCCTTTGCACAGCAATTTCTAGGCGCTGTAAACTTCATATTGTATAGAGAAAAAATAGTGGTAAATCTTTGGTTGGTAATCTGGTACAGTTCTTAATAAATTTACTCAAAAACATGTTCATGGGAATTTCCACATATAAGAGTATCATTATATGACATGCAATCTTGTCTTTAATTTTATTCTGTGGCATTTATCTGAGAGTTAGCCTCAGACTATTCTTTAAAATAAGTTGAAGATTATGCAGTAAACAAAAAATGAGAAATATGCATTTGTCAAATTGACAATTTGGCTAATTTAGTGATTTATTTATTCAAATGTATATCTTGCCTGATCCTCAGCATGGGTAATGACAAAAGCTTAAAACTTTGTATACAAATTTACATTCCAGTGTTATTTTTAGCAAGGATTTCTTTCCTAGTTTTGTTGCATTGCTCTACTTTTTTGTTCAGTCTGAAATGTTATTTTCTTTGCATGTGCTTTTAACAGACCAGTGGCATGTTGGAGATAGATGTCTTACACCTTTTCTTGAACTTGGGAACTTTTGGATGCTGCTATAATGTCTTTTGAAACAAATCGCAATGGGAAGTGTTCTGCCACAATTTCCACTGGGAAAAATCAGGAAGAGGAAATACTTACAACCAAACTCTCCCAGATCAAAACAAATGAAACTACAAAGAAGAATTTAATATTTGATAATGAAGATTTGGAAAAGCCTTATTTCCGAGACCGAAGTCTGCCATCACTGATGGTTGCCTTCGAGCTGTCCAACAATGGGGAAGAGATCCCTTATACCATTAATAGATACCTACGTGATTATCAAAGAGAAGGAGCCCAGTTTTTCCATGGACATTATGTTCGTAAAAGTGGGTGCATTCTTGGAGATGACATGGGGCTTGGGAAAACAATCCAGGTATTTCTGCCTCCTTTTCCTCTAAAAGTCCTGACAATATTTCTCAAATAGAATAAAGCATCCAAAATCTATTTAGAAAACTAAATTGTGTAGGTTTTCACAGTGCAATCCTAAGGGAGGTGAAGATATATGAAATAAAGTAGTTGAGTGTGCTATCTTGTATTTATTACTTCTTTCATTATTTTTGATGGACTATGAATTAAACACAGCAGTGACAAGTTGGCATAGAGTTTAGAAGAAGCTTTTAAAAGAATTTTAAAGTTTTTTCTTTTTCAAAACATACCATACTGTTTAAATCAAGTAATTGTAATCTTATTTTAAAAATTTCTCAGGGACTTAACAGAAACATTAACAGAGAATAAAAAGTACTTATATTAGTTTGGTTCTGGATGCTTGCATAGTTTCTAAGTGGCAGCTTTGATGACTGATTTATAAAAAGCTAAAGCATCAACATTTTAATGAATCAAAACTTTACTTTTTTCCACTCATCAGTATTAGAGATTTTGAATCTTTTAACTATTTTGGTTTAAAAAAAACCTTATGAAATTGGTTGAAGTTTGATAATGAGAGAGTTGGGAGTATCTTTTAATTGGCTTTTCCATCCTGTTTAAAATACCAAATAAACCTGGAAAGCAAACAATTGATGAGACTGGAATTTTATAATCACAAGCTAGGAAATGTATATACTATAAAATATAAATTCCATATAATTATTAAAAATCAAGATTGGTTGCTGCATGCCTTTTTATTCTGCCTGTTGGAAATATAAATGCATTCTTTCTGGATATCAGTCTTTAGAATATATTGCACAAAATTGGTATCTGAAGAAAATGGCTGTAATTTATTGTCACATAGGGAAAAATAACTGTATTATCTCTCATAAAGGTAACTCATTATGTCCAAGAGAAAACAGTGTTCTGTTCTGTAAGAAATTTAGAGATTAAATTGCATATTAATTTCAATTTACAATTTCATTGTATAATTTGCCACTCTCGGTTTGCTTTGAACTTTCTACAAATAGTTTCTTGCATGATTTTGTAGGAAGCTGTATTTATAAAGAGAAAACAGAATTCCTTTGACAAATAACTTTTGTTCAAAAGAATTTGAACTTGGTTTTAGGTTGAAAGAAAATGCATATATGTTGGCAGGGCAAGTTTTTAAAGTTAAAAGTCTGGTTCATATGTTATCAACTCAATTATGAATAATAGTGCTTTTAAATGGTACAAGAGACTGAAACCAGCATACATATGTGTGGTTAAATTAATATAGTAAACACAGTCCTGTAAATGAACTCTTTTCAATGGGCTTCTGTATTAATATTAATTATTTTTACATTTTTTGAAGGCCAATCTTAACATTTTTTTGCTATTTGTTCTGGATTTTGGGTTTGATTGATGCAAAATATCCTTTTACTATTATGCCCATTATCAAAATCCCACTAGTTTTCATTCTTCATATTTGTGGATTTAAAAATAGTTACATCTTCTTTCATTGCCTGCTTCTGTTTTCTTTGAACATAAAATCTGTATGCTTTCCCCAGGTTATTTCATTTCTGGCTGCAGTGCTAAAGAAAAAGGGAACACGTGCAGATATTGAAAATAATATGCCTGATTTTTTGCTACGAACTATCAGAAAAAAAATGTCATCTGTTCCAAAGAAAGTATGCTTTTTGTTTAAAATACATTTATATTTGAGTGTCTTGAAAATGTAGTATAATTAATCTTTAACTGGAAAATGAATTACAGTGTTTGCTAAGTAAAATAAAAGATAATTTGTAGAGAGGAATCTTTAATCACTAGATGTAGATGCAGAAGTTTGATTTGTCTTTTATAATCGCTTGAAATAGAAATCGCTTTGTAGGAATGATTGCATTTGCTTGGAAAATAGTGTATATTTCTAGTAAGACTTGAAGAGTATCTAATGGAATTCACCTGTTGTGTTGAATGGATGTTCTTGCACTGTGCTTTCACTTCAGGTGAGCTGTTACTAGCTATGTTACGTTCAAGCTCTTGCTTTCTAGTCTATCTATATCCTAACTCCTTTCTAAGCTGAGTGGGTACTAGGGGCTGCATTTAATACTCTTTTCTTTGAAAGTTATTTTTCCAATAAAAAAGACATACTAAGAGATAAAAATATCAGGCACGAAAGACCATGTGGTCCACACATGAGAAGGTTCAATTAAGCTGATTTATTGCTAAAAAACTTATGTATGGGAATCTTCTCAACTAAGACTTCTGCTCGGAATTAGATAAGGACCAACTGAATTCAGGGGAGGTTGGACTAAGACTGCTTGTAGCTATGTAGGGATTCTAGGCTGATACTTCTTTTAACTCCACTCCCTGGTTCTGCCACACCTTCCTCTACAAAAATTTAATCATTGATAGAAACAAGCAAATAAACAAATAAAAAATATTGTGTGTCTGCATAAGCAAACATAAAGCAAAACTGATTGATTGACTCCCAGCGACTATGGGCAGTTAAATAAAAATACTAGACATCTACCTTCAATATTTATGTTCAGATTCCATTAATAAATTTAATGTATTAGGAAAAGTTTTGCTAATATATCTAATAAATGGCAACCAAATTTGAATATATTTAATGTTTATTATAAATTTGTATTAATTTGTACTAGAAAGTACTAATTTGGGGATGGATCCGAAGGCTGTTCCCAAGTCTTCCAGAGATCGTGTGTGACTGGGCTCTACATAGTGCATCTCCTTAAGTGTTAAATCTTATTTTCTGTTGGGGTTTGATTTCTTCACTCATGCCATTTCAGTGTGAAAGCTAGTTTAATGACTTTCATTTCTGCTTTTGTTTCCTCTCTTCCCTCCCCCCTTTTCTCGTCCTTTTCTCGTTCTTCATTGTTTTTAATTTATTGGGGGGGTGGTTAGGGTACTATTTATTTTCTAAACATTTCAAGAAGCTTTTGTTTGAGAGGCAGAAGAAAAAACAATAGCAATGAAATGTCTTATGTCCCATACAAATATTATTACAGAGTGTTTGGTGCCAAAGAGGGGCATTGTGTTTGAGACATTATGGTAGATATTCTTAGGCACTGATCTAGCAAGGGTTTATAATAACTTCAGTATAGATGCTGGTAACAAGGGCTGGCTTGAAATTTACATGTTTGAGAATTGTGGGGGGAAAATCTCAGTTGGTATTTTTACCTGATTTGCTGCCCAAAATGCCTACCAAAAATTGTTTTTATTGGTTGATCTTCCCTGGATGAAGCTACAAGTTCCTCTCCTTAACTTAGCACAAGATAAGAACATATTATTTGGTTCTATTTCTTTTAGATTAAATTAAGTGAATTAAGTTTTATTAATAGTTTGATAGCTATGTAACCGTCATTTCTATGTTGTCCTGTTCAAAATAATATTTTAGTAGGAATGTGGAGAAGGATTTGGAGACTATTTCCAAAGCTTCTAGGGTCCATATGTGACCCTGTGACTTGTAATTTTGTTTCTGTTAGCAATAGGAGCCAAAAGAAGAATCCTAGCTTATGTGTGATCAGAAATGTCTGCAGATGCTATAATTATGAAAACTGCTTTCAGTTGATGGGATCATTACTTGCCAGTGTTGCAATGTAAGACCAATAGTAACTCAATAAATCATCCGTTTTTAATGTTGGTTCTCAAAATATAGGGAAAGGAATTGTGCATTTGCTGGATTTAACTTATGCTGGTAGGTGGCATGTAAATTGATAGTTGTGTGTTATTTGGGGCTGCCATAAAACATATCCCGGACACCATTTTGAAAATATTCTTATATCTACATTTTAATAAAACGTGCTATTTTTTTTTTAATTTATCTCTTACTTTCCCTGTTGCAACAGCTGAAAACTATTTCATTTGCAAATCGTAACAGTGTGAGAATTTTTCGCTCTGGGTACATTTTGCATTGTTCATCAGCAGTATTGTATGTTTCTTCTGCTTCAGATTTTCTTGATTGTGGCCCCTCTTTCTGTGCTCTATAATTGGAAAGAAGAATTAGATGTCTGGGGCTACTTCAAGGTTATAGTTCTGCACGGCAACCGAAAAGAGCATGAGTTAAATCGAATCAAGCAGGGAAAATGTGAAATTGTGTTAACAACCTATGAAGCACTTCGCCTTTACTTGAATGAACTCAACAGGTAACTGCATTCTGTAATGATTGCTACTGAATATGAAGCTTTTTAAAATAAATTGGGGCTATTAATCCTTGAACTATCTAGAGATAAAGGAAAAGGTATGTAAGGAATATAATCCTGGGTACACAATGTGTGTTGAAATTTATGTGACTTAAACACATGCAGACAAATGAAAATGAATCCCAAAGACTTTCAGGTTCCTCATTCTCTCCTCCATACTTCTTAGCCTCATTGGATTCTGTCCCGTTGCAACATGGGTTTTGTTCAACTTCATCCTGAAAGTTAGAAATATCAACAGATTTAGAATAAGACAGAATACATGGGTGAACTCTTGTAAAAAAGCATGATATCCAAAAGCCTACATAGATCATGGGTCATTAATACTGCAAGGCAGTGGATCCAATCTCGCACACGGGGGCTTGGGTATTCACCAAATGCTGCCAATGAAGAATACCCTTTAGCAGAAGGCAGAGTCAAGAATTTTCTTTCCAGTTCTCTTTCAATGACTTATGTTTGTCTATATTTTCATTTTAGCAGCTGGGCATCCTTCCAGATAAAGCCCCATTTTCCTTTTTAAAAATTGCTTATAGAATACACATGGGCCTTTAAGCCTTAATTATAAACAAAGATATGACTGTTGCCTTAAACTTTTAAATGTGCTGTACTCTTTAAAATGGAGGCGTGAAATATAAATATGAGAGCCGCTATGGTATAGTTATTAAAGTGCTATATTAGCAGCAGAGAGATCCAGTTTGTAATCTTTCTTTAGACAGAGAATCTGGATGACTGACATTAAGCCAGTCATTCAGCCATAGATTAGAAAAGTGAAAACATATCTGTCACCTTGCACTGGTTCAGTGTATTAGAGTATGGTCCCTAACCTTCAATAAACAGGCTGCCATTCTGTAATGTATTGATTCAGGCTATTAATATATATGACAGAATAGGATGAGTTCAGTATGAAGAGAATGAGCACTAGCTCATTAAGATAACTGAATTGAGGGAGAGACTTTAGAAAAACGTTTACCAATTCCTTATGTTTCATAGCTTACAGTGGTCAGCTGTCATTGCAGATGAAGTACATAGAATCAAGAACCCAAAATCTCAAATTACCCAGACAATGAAAGCACTAACATGTAAAGTTCGGTTGGGTCTTACTGGGACTATTTTACAGAACAACATGAAAGAGCTTTGGTGTGTTATGGACTGGTAAGTGAAATAAAATTTAATATTACAAGCACAGATGGAGTGTTTATCATCCTTTCTCCCCTTTGTTTATCTCTTATGTGCAACAAAGTTCTCATGTATTACGCGTGGCTGGCACTCGCATGTCTTACAGATGTCTTTTACAGAGAATTTTGGCAAACCAAAATTTAGTTGTCTGGGCCAAGAATTGATAGAACACATATTTCTCATTGTGTGAATGTGTGTCATGGAACTGTAGAAGCCATAATAAATGTGCATTTATTACTGTGTAATGTGTGAGATGATTCCTTCAATGCCTGATGTCATTGGTTGTGGGCGTTTATATACTGCTTAACAATACAAGGAAAGAGCAGTTTAGATTAGAAACCCAATTGTATGCCTTCTTCTTTCTGTTAGGGTGTACAACACTTCAGATGTGATACAGAAAAGGTTCTTCAGGGGATGTATAGGCACACAGAGTGAACTTGTTGGAATTTTGTGAAAAGGTTTATTTATTTATTTAGAAAATTTATATTGCCGCCTACTTGCACATGGTGACTCAAAACAGCTTATAGGACATAAAAACAAAATATAAAAGAAATAAAAATAATAAAATAATAACCCCCTTACTTCAGTAACATTCATACCAGCCATCTAATGGGATCCATCCCGCTCTAGGCTCCCCAGGCCCACTTTCAGAACCACATCTTCAGGGCCTTCCGAAAGAGTGTTAGAGTGAGGGCCAGTCTAATTTCTGGAGGGATAATGTTCCAGAAGGAGGGAGCCACCATGGAGAAGGCCCTTCTTATGGTTCCTGCCAAATTTATTTCCTTAGGGGATGGGACCATCAACATTCCTTGCCTCCCTGTTCTAGTAGGTCAGATAGGCGGGAAGGCAAGGAATGTTGTGGGCCTCGTCCCTTAAGGGGATACATCTGGCAGAACGCAGAAAAATGTTGCATTTTTTCCCGGGCTTGTACAGTAATCTGCTATCCCAGGTTTGAGAACCAACATAGCTTTGTTAGCATGGCATATATGTTTCTTAAGGCACATATTTGAGCCCATGTCTGCTTGAATGCCCCTCTTCCTCTTTGATTCCCACTTTTCTAATGCATCCCTTTTATAGTGCTTTCAGCATTGGAAGCTAGTGAAGTTATAATTCTAATAGTAATGGGATAGAAGTTTTATATTTTAGCTTATCTTCCCATTTTTCTAGTACTGTAACTTTTTTCCTACAATAACCATGTAAGAATACATTCAAACTATTTTAATTTAATTTACAAGTATAGCGAAAATAATACAGGTCAATGCACACAACCGTTTTTAAACTTTATGGTTCCATAGTACAACTGTCATTGATAGTAGTATTGTCAGCCTTAACAAATGTCCCCACATTACATTTCCATAAATTGGAAAACAGGTTTGATTCTCAAGATACCATGAATTAGATATAATAAAGTTAAATAAGGAGAATTCTAAAAATGAATGTATTTGTCAATATTGTATAAAAATATAGTGCAATTTATATGAATTTGCATATGGGTAGGTCTGTTTTAATTCATTTGGATTTATTCCCAGGTAAATAAGGATTGTAACCTTATATGTAGAGATAGTTCTCTATTTTTGACTGTTATGGAGTCTGCCCATTAAGGTTGCATGTCATGATGGCCGTTCAGTGAAATGCCTTGCTTAAGACGCTTCCATCCCTACTCTTCCCAGTGCAATCTTTAAACAAGTGTGTGGATTGTTAAGTTGAACCTGGATGCCTCAGGTAGAGGAGGCCCTGGGTCTCCTAAGGCCTCCCCCACTCCCCTCAGTGGCCTAGCATAGACCCAGACCCTCCTTCCTCGGGTCTGCTAAGGCCTCCCCCACCCCTAAGGCACCTAGTGCCCTGCTCCCTCTCCCTTGGGGTTCTCCAGGTCTTGTCCTGCTTCCAAGCAGCCCAGTCAGATAGGCAAGGGACCCTAAAACCAGACAGCAGAAGCGATTGGCACACAACATGTAGGCTGAGGCCTTCTTTCCACCCAGTCACCCAAGGGACTTGCAGGACTCGTCCTTCTCCTCACCTGACTACAAAGCCCAGCAGCACCCAACTTTTTGTTTTTTGCAGAGGATGATCCCAGTGCTCTTCTGCAAAAACGATGTGAGGCTCAACTTTCCTATAGAGGCTGCCTTCCTTGTAGCAACCTTGTGCTATTCTTCTAGCAAATAGTACTTCTCATGATGCTGCAGGGGGCTCTGTTTTTTAAGGGTAACTCTGTGGAGCCTTGGGAGCAGGATGAGGGGGGACCCAGCAGGATGGAAGAAAGAGATATGCGGGGAGGCACTGCTGCATCCCTGCGATCGATCGTAAAGGTGAACAACAGGAGCACTGCAGCATCCATAACTTTGAAACCAATAAAGAAAAATATTGTCTGTCCCATGCTGAAAATGATTTACCAAATATTTATTATATGGTGCATTCATATCACCCTTTGATTAAAAATACAAGAGATAATTATATAAAATATGAAATATAACATAATGTATATCTAGATTTCAACTATAATTTTTGGCTTCATTTGTTGCAGCCAGGAAATTAGCAAAGTCTCCATTATAGACTCTATGTTGGTACTCTGTCCCTATATGTTGGATAGTTTGTTTTTCACCTCAACAGTCACAATTCAATGGTGGTGTTTTGCTTCACTTATTATAGAGGCTTTCCACAAAATACAAACAATAAAACGAAAATAAACCCAAAAATCGGTCCAACAAATACGGTAGTTAAAACTTGGTTAATCTTATAGCTGGTATGTGAAAGTAAATAACAACTGTAGATCTTTGACTCTAGAAGCCTTCTAAAAGTAATATCCTGTGCTTGATATACAAGAAAACCACAGTTTTCTCTTTTTCTTAGGGCTGTTCCTGGGCTGTTGGGTAGTGAAGCACGTTTCAAGACAGAGTTTTCTGATCCTGTAGAACTTGGCCAGCGGCACACTGCAACTAAAAGAGAGCTAGCCACAGGTCGAAAGGCAACGACAAGGCTAGCTCAAAAATTATCGGGCTATTTCTTAAGGCGTACAAAGGCTCTCATCAGTGACCAGTTGCCCAAGAAGGAAGACAGAGTGAGCTCCATTTATTAACTTGGTTTATTCCTGTTAGTGTGGATTTTGTACAATTTCATATAGTAGGTATGTTAGGATATCCTACATATGGAACTACATAGAACTGTGTAGTTCTACATGTGCTGGACTGTAACAGCACATTTGTGAGTGGGGAACTCAGAAAGGACTTGACTGTTTCCTTGCTTGCTGATTTAATTAATATAAATAATTGTAACATTTATAATTGCCTTCAAGAAAAAAATTGGTTATCCTTCCTCTCAAAGGCTATGAGCAACCTAGGAGCATATCTGAATATACTACAAGAGAGGCTTTTTACAAAGTTTTGGAAGTTGTGAATAACAGGAAAAAATCAAAATCTTCCTGCGAAGTGTCTTTTTTGCACTTTTACCCTCCAAGTAATTTCTTTCTTACATTTGGAGGAAGGGATTTTTCCCTTTCGGAGAACTTGGAAGTTACTGTGTGAGACTTTACTATGTTTTCCTAAGCTCTTCATGTGCACCAAGTGAATAAAAGATAAAACTCATTATTTTTTTTGTGATGTTACCAGTAATATTCATTGACTTGGAAGACAGAGATTTTTGAATACCTGAATGATGGATACTATCTCTGTGAAGATAAAACTTTGAGTAGAATAGAATTGAGTAGAGAAAGGGAACAGAATTGTTTATGGCATACATGGCATATTGCTATATGATATTCTGGAGATACAGGGCTGTAACTTTCCTGCCATTTTAAAAAAAAAATCTGGATAAAACTTGCTAATCATTAACTGTTTTTTATGGAAAAGATGTTTTATCAACTTCTTATATAGTCTGCAGTGCAGGGATTTTCCAATGTTTTTCCATTGAAGTACAAATCACATCAAACTCTGCTTTAGCTTTTATAAAATCACCCATAGTTAGCTAGCTGCTGCTATCTGTTTGATACAAATGTCTTATCAAACATTTTTTTCCATAAGTGCCTTGCAAGGATTTGGTGTATGTCACAGTGATATCATTAAATGGTATATTATAAAAGCAGAATTCCAAATACTTTGTTTTGCAGAATCTGGATGAATTATTAGCACCTACCTTTGCCCTGTAGTAGTTATCATGGGCTTTCAGAAATGTGCGCACTATTTTTTTGTTATATTAGATTTCTATAGTATTGAAAATAATGAATGGAAGTGCTGAACCCATTCTGAAAATTACCCAAGTGATTGTTGCAGTTGTTGTCTCTGAAAATTCAGAGGGCATTGTTCTCCTCTTGATGTCTTCTTTGAAACAAGTGGGGATTTGGACTTAGTTTGGTTCTTTTACATCTTGAAACACGAATCTTCCATTCCCACTGCTCATTAAAATCAGCTTGTCTGTCTTTTTCATGGAAGTTCATGTCTTGAAATAGCAGTTGATTGAGGAGCTCAAAATCCTTTCCTATGGAATGCATTCTTGATTGTCTGAGCTTTTTAGAAAATTCTAGCCTCTCAGTTTTCCTGAAGTTTCATCTTTATATACTTCTTTAGGAAAAAAATATTTGCTCTCTTAATGGATTTTTGGAATGTTTGCATATTCCCCCCTCCCCTGAATCTTACACTTCATGTGGGTCTAGTAACAGGTGAAAAAATTATTCATTTTTTTAAAAGATTCAATAACCTATTGCATCAACTTTCTGTACAATACTCAAAAACTTTCTATAATTGATCTTCATACTCTCACATCACTGTGTAGGAATTCACTCTCCATGGTCAGCAGGTTCAACTTATAATATTTAAGGGTCTCTGTGCCCCCCCCCCCCAGGGCAAGGCCACTAAGTCAAGCTATGCTTTTTAAATTGTGATTAATTGTTTCTGTTATTTCTTGCAATAAAGTTTTGTAATTATTTTAAATGGGCAATTATAACAAATCTAATAAATTAAATTAATTAAATTAACTTTTGCTTTTTGGGGGGTAAAATAAAAAAAAACCTGACTAGCCAAAATAAGAAATTTATTTATCCAATTTATTTGACTATTTCTGTCATACTGGAGACTTTTTTGTCTGGTTGGTAAAACTAGTTTAGTATTGCTCTTCTAACATTTTCTTTGGTCTACAGTTATCTTAGTATCTCTACAAAACAATCATATTCCTATTTGTTCAGGTATGCAATTTATTTAATGACATAACATATGAAATAAGCTATAGGATAATGCTCAGGTCTTTTATTGCTCAGATCATCTAAAATTCTTCTTTTCCAGTGAGTGAGACCTACTCAGAGTGCATCAAGATGGAATTTGGTTGTTAAATTTGTACAGTGGTGGATGGTTCAGAGTCATGAGCACTTTAAATGAACTATCTGTTTTGATTTTGCACTTTGTGTTATTCATGTATTATTAGTTATTCATGTATTATTAGGTGGAATTAAAGGAAAAGACTCAAGGCTTTCACCTTTCAAGAAGATTCCAAATATGATTTATGCAAGCAGATTTTTAGAACCAAAAGCATAACTTTAAAAATAAGAGTTTGAAATAAACCCTTTGATTTTCTTCTCATTTCCACTAAATATTTCTGGAACATAACAATATTCTTATGAATAATTTTCATGCAGAGACATTCATTTTCTATCCAATATGCATAGGTTGATGGAAGATGCATAGATGTACACATGTATAATATGTTCAGTATTTGTTCAAAATCTGTGAATTAATTGAAGTTTCATACTTTTTGTGCCTCTTTTTTATAGTATAAAAGTTTACTAAGAATTGATAGATCCAAAACTGTGTGGCTTTGTTCCCTTTTTGAAAGATGTACGAGTTTTCAGTTATCCTGCCTGGAATGTTTTGATAAATGTAGAAATACATTTTAGAGAACACCCAATCACACATTTAATAAAGATACACATTTGTCTACTGCTCTTTCTTCCTTGTTTATACCTGCCTTTCAGCTAAAGCTTGTAATAATGTAGTCTAAACTATGTTTTCTAAAGAGAAGATTAACAGCAATGTCACTCTGTTGCCTTTAATCTAGAAGCTTTTATTTTATCCCATTCTCTTGATAATGTGAGTATATGTTCAAGATAGCATTTGATTATTATAGCACAGCATGGTGCTGCTGCTTTGTGGGTGGCCTAAATGCAGGAGGGGTCTTAGAATATCTGTATCCTGCTGGTTGAGACCAAAAGATGTCATGGAGATGCCACCCATGGTCTTAAAGAGGAAGGATTAAGTATGTCATACCACTGTCCAAGAATCTCTCCTTCTTATATCAGCCATTCAGAATGTCAGTCTTAAAAATTGGCTGTTTTCTTTTATTCCTGATGCCTGCATTAGTCTCTACAATAGTGCCAGGAAATGGCAAATGGATCTTTTAAGCAATTTAAGATCTATTGTCTTCGGGATTGAGAGGGATCACAACAGTTTATCTTTCACATTCTTAGCAGATTGTATCATTTGAATATAAAGTGCTAGATGATCATAATCTTTGAAAAAGCCCACCTCTTCAGTTTGCAAGCTTGATACATATTTTAGGGTACATATTTTAGTTCGTGATGTATTATTTGTGTTGTTTTATTCTCCCTATTTTGCATTTTATCTCGCCAGATGGTATATTGTTATTTGACAGAGTTCCAGAGAATGGTTTATAAGACTGTATTGGAGACAGAAGATGTGCAGTTAGTTCTGCGGGCACGTGAAGCATGTAGCTGTAATAGTGGCCATAAAAGGAAGAATTGTTGCTACAAAGTAAGCATTATTTTTAAACTTAAGTTTGTTTGAAATACAGTGACCATCTACAATACTCCTTTGACCTACTCCATATCCAGCGCCTGTTTTTTCTCCTCATAAATCTTAATGGGGCCATTGAGTAGATGGATAATGACATTCTGTACTGTAGATAAACAAGCTAATGGGAGATAAACAAGCTAATGGGAGATAAACAAGCTAATGGGACTGGGGGGAGCAATTCCCAGGTCTGTATAATGCTTCTAATTTTAATAAAAAATAAATAAAATAGCACTGATTTGAATTACCAAAAAAGAAGTTCAATCACTATTACTATGGTATTACAACAATACTAAAACGTTTCTATGAGAGCCAGTCTGGTGTACTGATTAAGGTGTCAGGCTAGAAACTGGGAGACCACGAGTTCTGGTCCTGCTTTAGGCCCAAAGTGACCTTGGGCCAGTCACTTTCTTGAAGCCCTAGGAAGAAGACAATGCCAAACCACTTCTGAAAAACCTTGCCAAGAAAAGTGCAGGAATTTGTCCAAGTAGTATCTGAGAATTGGACACAATTGAACGGAAAAAATAAAAATAACTATTGGGTGGGCACTAATTCATCTTTCGATATAAATAGATGTTTTTTTAATGGGATGCTAAATGTGTATCTAATCATTCCTCTATTTTAAAATGGTCTCGATTGCTATTGATTTACTTCAGGTTAAGCAGATGTATTTGAAAATGTTGTCTCAAAAGAAAAAATAATCAAGGAAAGGCTTTGTGGCATACCTTTACAAGCTATATTACTAAGACATAATAGAAGCTGTTTTATTATTGCTTATCTCGTGTGATCCATAAAATGAATAAACTTAATTTTTGTCATGTTTACCTCACTGGAACTACCACAACATAAATGGTCAGTGAATCATCACCTAAAAATCAGCCAGGCATAGCTAGGATAAATTCTTATTTGAGACAGTTGTTGATATCATTGCTGGTCTACTGGAAAACTATTGGATGAGGTTATTTTTTTTTTGGGGGGGGGGAATTGTTTCAGTTTAAATATGTTTCAGATACTTGAAGAAGAATACTTTGAACTTTAAGCATTGGTATGGAATAAATTCCCAGGTGTTTTTAAGTTTATATCCTAACTTTATACAAAGTAAACAAAGCTAACAATTGTGAAAGATGAGGCAAAATACACTTCAAACATAGCCTATGGAGAAGAGGGGGAGGCAATATTTTTCCAGGGTCTAGAAGTTCAGGGGACTTGGCCCAACCATCACTAACATGGAATGAAAAAGGAGCTAAAAGGTTATTTTAGATAATTTTTGTCAATTTGTTGGATTTAAGCATCTGTATTGGCTGTTATGAAAACCAGTTTGGTATAGTTAAAGGTATTGGGCTAAAAACCAGGAAGCCACGAGTTCTTAGACCTGCCTAAGGCACAAAGCTAGCTGAGTGTCCTTGGCCCAGTCATACACTATAAGAAGGAGGTCATGGCAAACTGCTGAAAATGTTGCAAGAAAACTTCAGGGACTTAATCTAGGCAGTTGCCAAACGTTAACACGGATTTAAATGTATCCCTGTACACACACACACACACACACACACACACACACACACACACACTATCAGTTATACTTTAAGTTATTTGTTCTAGCCATGAAAATCATATTCACATTTCAGCAGTGAAAAAAAAGTAATATAAACTATTCTGTAGACTATCCTTTTTTGTGCATTAATAAAACTGCATGCTCCTTTTTCACTTCACTTATTCAGGAAGGGGGAACCATCATAGTTTAGTAGATAACTGACATCAGGGAGAATGGATGGATATTGTAATAATTGGGGCCCCAGGGACTGTGACAGCTGTTGCTGCCGATAGGATTTACACGCCTAATAACATATGGAACTCTGCAAAGTATATAGAAGAACTGACACAAAATGCCAGAGATAAGAAAGTGGTGTCTACAGATTATTTCTCTTTGAATAATAGTGGCACATCTGAATAAACATTAAGCAGCCAAAAGATGTTTAACAAATGGACTAATGAAATGCATCACTCAATCAAAAACTCATCCTGGTCCATGGCTTTCAAGCTATGTTAACAGAAATCGTTTCTGATTTATTAGAACATTTCTGATTCTTCTGTGTAGCTTTACCTGTGCTCTGAACTATGGTCTGATCTCCCTTAGTTGAATTGACAGCAAAGGGTTCTTACCTGGTCCAGAAGCATGTTGGGATTGCTATTTTGATTCATCAACCATATACAAAACTTCCTACAAGTAAAAAAAAATCTAGCATGATAGAGATAAATTAAAAACGTAGTCACTTTTGGATGTGTTATGCTTCTATTTATGTAGGAGTGTATATATTTTATTTATTGTATTAGTCAACATAAAGTATCTTGAACAATGTACAACCTACATTCTGAAGTATTTTAATCTATTATACCAGCTTAGCTCTTTGTTATGCTTTTTCCATTCTATTCTAATATTTGTGTAGAGAGCTGGCTTTAGCAGGTTTAATTCATTATTCTCCACTCCAGCCTGGTTAGGATGGCAATTATTTCACTTAAATATATAGGCAAATGTTTGTTGGGGGAGGGAAGTATATGTAATGGGCTGTGAAAATAACCTTGGCAAATAGGAAGAATTGCAGCTCAGACAATGCTCCGATGAGAGAAATCTGAGTCTAAAGGAGGGATGAAGGTGAAGAAAGGAGAAGGGGCCCTCTCTAGTTTTCTGGAAAGTGAAGGCAGGGGAGGGGAAAAGTGCTTTCAGACATGCAAGATTCTGTTACTGTAACCTTCAAATAAGGGTGATATTATTATTCATTGTTTGAGGTGTGTTTGGGCTACCACGAAAGGCTGACAGTACAGATCCATAGTCAAGTTAGTTCGTTTTACACATAGGAGAGACCTTGAATGAATATAGAAGGTTAGAATTGGGTGTTTTTCAGATGATAGTTTCAAAACATATTGTATTTTTATGTTTAAAAGACTCTTGGGATGTTTGCTGTTCATAAAATGAAAAAGGAATTGACATTTTTTGCCTTTTTTAGATCAGTTTTAAATCATAACAATATATTTTACTTTGACACTCTGATGTGAACTTTAGAGGTGAAATATTGTGTGTTTTTCCATTCAGTAAAGTACAAAATACATTTCTAATATTGCAGAATTCAGGTTTTCTCCCCAACCCTGACAAAAGAAATCTAAACACTGGATTTTGTGGAATAAATATTTCCTGCCTTATTTAAGTACTATAGTTCTCTGAGCTTTTAAACTGTTTATATTTCTACAGACAAATGCTCATGGTGAAACAATGAATGCGTTATATTTCAGTTATTTGACAGTCCTTCGTAAGATAGCAAATCATGCTGCCCTGTTACAAACGGAGAACACTAGCAAACAGCAGGTTAGTTTTCTCAATATTTGATTTGAAGCAGCAATTGACTGGTAAATTCCATTCTTCATTTTATGTCTCATTCATTCTGTTAAAATTATGTTGAAACTATATTGGTTTTCAAGAAATATACTTCCAAGTTTGTAATAGATTTACTGTTTAAGTCTAGTAATAAAAACATGATTATAGTGTGTCCCATCGTTATTCAGCTTGAGTGCAGGTATTCCTCGTTTGCACCTATTAATTTACTCGCATTTGCATGTTTCTGAACTGCTAGATGGGCAAGGGATGTTTGCACTTTTGACAGTGGTGAAAAAGTAACTTTACAATCAATCCACACATTTATGACCTTCATGGATCTGTAAAACAGAGGATAGCTGAATTAAGATCATACGCATTTCAGTTAATCACTGCTTTGCTTAACGACTGAGTTGCCTATATTGCTGTTTCCAGATCTGTTGTTTTCCACCTTTACTTTTTTGTGGCAACAGGGACAGAACGCAACATTGTAAGGAAAATAGTAAGAATTGCCCCATTAGTAAAGAGGCAATGTGGTGGCCTCATTCCACTCCCTGTAACCTAGCAATCTCCTTGATACCTGCTGTGTGTTTTACATTCATTTATTTCAAAACAATCTTTCTAAGAGCAGCTTTCTCTAACTAGTATCAGTAGTGCAGCTAAAAGCCTGCTCTATTTCTTTCTTTCTTTCTTTTGCCTTTCAGTAGAAAGAGAAAAAAGGATGGCTACCGAATGTCCAAAGGGGTTATGGAGGGCTGCTGCTTTCTAATTTCCCTTTTTTCTGTCTCAAAATATAAGTATGGTGCAGTAGCAGTCAGATGTCCTTGCTTAGAAAAATCAGCAGAAGATTCAGTTGCTAGTCCCTATTTTTTCCTCTTCCTTTGTAAGAGGTGGGAAAAATGAAATTATAGCCAGAACCTGATTGTTGTAGCTTTCAGTCTGGAATAAGAGGGAAAAATCATGGCTCCTGTTCCTTGTCCCAGCTCTTGCCCATCTAGCAGTTCAAAAACATGCAAATGAGAGTAAATTAATAGATACCACTTCGGTGGGAAGGTAACAGTGTCCCGAATGCCTTTGGCATATAGCCATGCTGGCCACATGACCAGGGAAAATGTTTTTGAACAATGATGGCTCTCATGGCCAAGATATGGAGGTTAACACCACATCCTAGAGTTAAACACACCTGAACAGGGAAACCTTTACCGGGCAGATTCTATAGAACAGGGGTGTCAAACTTGAGTTCATTGAGGCTGCATCAGAATTGTGTTTGATCTCAGGGGTGGGGGTGGTGCATGTGGTTGTGGTGGGGCGGGCATCATTCGGGGGCGCCTGTGGTGAAAACGGGCTCCCGAGCTCCATTTTCAGCTGCGATGATCTCCTGCAACTCTCTCCCAGCAAAAATGGATCTTAGGAGGGCCGCGCGCAGAGGCACCATGGGCCGGTCCTTTGCTGTTCCAGGGTGGCCAGATCTAAGCATCTGGCTACCCTGGAAACAGTATCCGGCCCATGGGGCTTGAGTTTGACACTTGCTATAGAAGATAGATTGTACTTGCAGAAGTTTGACCATTTTCATTTGTGTAACAGTAGCAAAAAGCTATTCCTTTTACTTTAAATAAGCTAAAAAGAAAAAAAAATGGGGGAGCTGGGGTGAGAAAAGGATAAATAAGGATGAATTCCATGGCTGAAAGTGACCTCAGATCTGGTCCATTTCTTTAGCCTATTTCTCCCCATAGCTGAAAAATCTCATATATCTATCTTGGTTACATTCTACCAGTATATCATATTTATTTTATTTATTTATTTTATTTGATTTGTCAATTGTTTACAAGATAATAAGTATAAGTGTATACATAGTTGTGAATACATGAGATGGGTACATATAAGAAAAATAAAAGAATAGAGAAACAATAGGACAGGGACGGTAGGCACATTCCAGCACCCTTTTTTTGCCAGAATATCTTCATGAAATTCCTGCTATTTGTAGTCTTATCTATCAATTCCTCACCCTTCCTTTCCTCCTTCCTTCCTCCCTCCCTCCCTCCCTCCCTCCCTCCTCACTCACTCACTCACTCACTCACTCACTCACACTCACTCACTCAGTCACACGAAATGTTTATGATACAAACAAGTCTTGTATTTCATAAGCAATATAATTCATTTTGCACTCATCTGACATAGAAATAAAAGCAAAGTGCACTCCTTGAATGAAAGCAGTATACTTTCATATATACCACACTACTTAATACCTGTGGTTCTGTTTTAATGGAAAAAATGGGAATGGTTGATTCTTACATAGAGTCAGATGGAATGAGTCCGCCGTGTGTCTTTAATACAAAAACAGCTTATGGTCCTAACATTTGTCTTCTATAGAGTGGTGAAGAATTCTCATAAGAGACATGTTGATTGATGGACTTCTCAGTTCCACTCATTAATGGAATGCTCTAGGCTAGTGATGGCGAACCTTTTGGGCCACGCACATACTCAAAATGCAAGGCATACCCCTCTCACATGCATGTGCTCCCCCCTCGCATGCACGCACCCTTCTGCACATGTGTAGCAGAGACCAGAAGGCCAGCTGGCTGGCAGGAAGCACACGCACATGCGCAGTGGAGCTGAGCTGGGGCAATGGCGCACCTGCCCACAGAGAAGGCTCTGTGTGCCACCTGTGGCACACGTGCCATAGGTTTGCCACCACGGCTCTAGGCTATGATAGAACCTGCAAAATGTGGGTTTTTAGGAATCCTAATATAGTAAAAAAAGCACTGGGGTATGGATTGAGAAGAACCCTGATTGTAAATGCCTATACAGCCATAAAAATATAAGAATAGTTTTGCCAAGTCACAAACTCCCAGTCCAAACTGCCATTACACAATAGTTATGAGAATAAAAAGGAATTGCTCCATATATTGTTTTATGAACTCATAGAGAGAGAATACACACATCAAATGTACACTATGTAGAGTTTTCAAATGTTTTCAATTTCTCCTTGCACTAAGTGTATTCTTCCATTTCTTTTAATTGAGCTATTAATAATTGTAGCATTATTTTTGCTTGATTTGTATTTTATTTTAGGAGGCCTACATCACAAGGATCTGCAGCCATGTTTTTTCCAAGTTTCCTGATTTTGTGGACCTTAGCAAAAATGCTGCTTTTGAAACTCTTTCTGATCCAAAATATAGTGGGAAAATGAAAGTAAGTAAATGAGGGGAAAGATGGAGTATACCTGTTTTCTAGTACATTTGGTTTTTTAGCATTCAGAACACCTTGTGAAAAAACATAATGATTATATAATTACAATTATTATAAAACTATCATCATTGACAATTTACTTTTCTGGAGAATTTAGTTGAGATTTCTGCAGTTTGGAATCAGGCAATGCAAATGTAAAATCTCTTTCTTTCTGTGTGCCTGGAAGGAAAAGAACCAGAATATGTAAAAATTCCCAATGGTTTCCGTCTTCCTAGAATTTGCAATACAGGTAGTCCTTGACTTATGAACATAATTGAACCCAGAATTGTGGTTGTAAGTCATTGCAACCATAAGTCAAGACTGGTCCCAATGTTTTGATAATTTGTTTGGTGGTCATTAAGCAAACTCATGGTCATTAAACAAATTCATTTTTCCCAATTGGCATTTTTTGCCAGAACCTGGAAGTAAAGACCGGAAACCTGCAAAAAGAGTTATGAATCACAATGCATGCAGTGACCACAGGATGCTGTAAATGATTGTAGAAATTACCCAAAAATATGATCATGTGACTGTGTGTATGTACAGCCATTGTAACTTCAAAAATGATTTGTAAGAAGTTATGAGGTGGTCCACTATAACTTTGAATGGTTGTTAGTGATCTTGTAGTATATTTGCACAGTGATGTAAAAGCAGCACCAGCAAATGAGTAGTAGTGAAATGAGTGAAGAAATTTTCTAGCTATTAACAGCCAGGCATTTGAACAACAAAAATGCAAATTATTTATTGGTTTGCTTTCACCTTGCACATAATGGTTGTTCAGAAAAGATGTTCCTATTTCCACCTAAGTTTGGTATAAGTAAGTATTCTGTGTTTTTTTTTTAATAAATGCACTATTACAAGGATATTTTGAAATATGAAGCTAGCAATACACTAATAAAATGAAAGCTTTAATCAGACACAGTTGCCCTTAGGAGATTTACTTTATTTTTGAATGTCTACAAAGCTTTATCTGAAAGAAGGTTATGACAGCTTTTAAAATTAAATTTGAATCCAAGAAGCTCAAGAATTTATTGCTGACTTCTGTAGAGTTAATTTATCTGAAGTTAATCCTTTTTATTAGTTTATAATATAAAATACAAAAACATGAAAGCAAATAACAGGAAAAATAGGGGAGGGGAAAGGGAAGAGAAAAGTGCAGGAAAGAAGGGAAAAAGAAAGAAAAGGCTTTGACTCCCAACTCCCTTTGGTGCAGTAGAATAAGATAGTAACATCAAACCTCAATGTTTTACTTTTACATAATAGTATAATCTAGCAATTTCTATAACAACAATCTATCTAATCAGCAAAACCCAAAATAAAAGTTTCATTTTTTTCCCCACCTCAAGCACAAGTCCAGAAGTGGTTTCCAAGTAGGAAAAAAAGTAATTGTGTTTTTTCTTTTATCAAAGCAGTCAATTTAACCATCTCTGCTAACTCCATCAGTTTTTGCATCCATTGTGGGGATTAAAGTGTCCTTCTGTTTATGTGCATAAAGTAATCTTTCTGCCATCAATGTAGAGTTAACATACTTGAACAAATCAGTAACTTGAAAAATTGAACTGAAATAGATATCTAGGATAGCGCCAAGTTTGTTTTTAGGAATTACTATAATACAATTTCTAAATTATTTCAGTAATCTGCCATGCTCCTTCTTTGTGGTGGAAAATATTTTCTATGTGAAATAATAGACTGACTATCTCTGGTATCTATTAAAAATAATTCAGAAAGGCAGACTTTCAAGAAGTTTCTTCAGTACCCTGGGATGCAGTTCATCTCAACGTTCAAAATATTTTCTGAACACCAGTGCTGTTCTTTCACTGTGCTGTTTATAACCTGTTTTCTGGAACAAAACATTTGATCATTAGAGAAGACAGGTGTCTGGGGTGAGGGAGTGTTGGATTTAGCAGATCTGCAGATATTCCAGCAATGTACTTTTTTTCCAACTCTATTTGAGGTCTTCAGATAGAAAATAATGATTTTGTGGAGGTGGAGGAAAGGGGGAGATTTCATCTTCTGATATTTGAACATTTTTCTCACTCTCAGAATGGTAACCAATACAATCCAGGCTCCTTAGGATTGCAGTCTTAGTAAATTAGTTAAATGTAATTATTACCTGTAGACCAGGGCTGTCCAACCTTGGCAACTTTAAGACTTGTGGACTTCAACTCCCAGAGTTCCTCAGCCAGCTTTGCTCTGGGAGTTGAAGTCCACAAGTCTTAAAGTTGCCAAGGTTGGACAGCCCTGCTGTAGACAAACAAATAAAACAATGAACAAATCACAATGTTATATACCTGTGGTTTGTGTCTTTTACATTATTATTGGGTGGTGCTATTTTTGTTCCATGCATTTTCTTTTATTTAGTATTAAACAAAGCCCTTTATTAGCATGGAGAGGATTATTTTATAATAAAACATAGACATAGTGCTGTCATATCAATTAGCATTAGCTTATAGTTTGTAATATTTGGAATCCTGTGATGTAGTGTCATGAACAACAGGCTCTTCTACACATTGAACAGGATAAGGTTTTTCTCCCTGCTCTCAAAATGTAGGTCAGAGAATCCATAAAGACCGTAGGAATGTGAGGAGCAAGGTGAAGAAGGAACATCCCATTTTTGAGCAGACATTCACTTCATTGGATGCTCAGAAATCATAACATATCTTAAATTTAGTTGGTTCTCTTTTTCCTCCTTGGTTAAAAAAGGATGAATTGGGTTTTTTTTATTTAATTTTTTATTTTATTCAAAAATTAAAATTCAAAACATTAAAATACAAAGGGAAAAAAATAACAAAGACAAAACAAAACTAGACAAGAATATTAAGAAAAAATTAATTAAAAGGACAAAGAACAAAAAGCACATATTATTCCCCCTAGTTGAACACTGTTTGCAACAATATTGCAACAATATAATAGCTTCTCCCTTGTAAAACAGACCCAAAATTTATAAATTTCTAACCATATTTGCAATCCAATTGATCTGTCATATATATCTATATATCTAGATCATCTGTATATCTATATCAATTTAGCTACCATCTATCCATCAAAATAAATGGTTAACAGGTTAAACAACTGCAAAGTTAATGTTCAAGGCCCTCTGTTAACAATCTGTTATTGCAGTTTTCTTATTAGGTTTCTTATCTATCATAAATCACCCCAGTCATTATCTCTGATCTGTCCAGATCAAATACCCTCATTTGACTCTTACAAATAAAACCCCTCCTTAGGATTTTAATTGGGGGCTTTCCCAACAATTGAATCTTATTTCTGGAGTTCATGAGAGGCTGAATAGACTGTTGATCCATTTGTTAGTTAGCTATTGTTAGTTCCAGCTCTGAAAATTTGTAAGATATAGTATATGGGAAGGTTTCTGGTGATGATTCAATCCCTCCTGATCTAACTAAAGATAACTCAGTGTAGTTGGTTTCCATTTTGATCTTCTCAATAAGTATGATTGTCACTTAAAAAAAGAGGCGAGCAGCTCCTTTTAAAAAGGAAGATAATGTCTAGCAAACTCTAGACCTGTTAATTTGCTTAATACAGCCAGTAAACTCTGCACCAGTCATCTGTATTGGAATCTAAGGCACAGGAACAAGAAAAACCTAATGGACGAAAAGGCTGGTTCCAAAAGTGTTGATGTATGTATCTTTGACTACTGCCTAGTGCTCCAGCATTTAATTGAAAAACACTCTTTTCAGAGTCCTTTCTCTGTAGGCAGCCTTTATAGCTCTCAAGTCTACATTTCACTCTCTTTCTTGAGCCAATTTGTGGGAGAAACTGGAAGCTTCTGTGATTGATGTGTGCTTACTGTCTTTTATTCATATCTCCATAATGGTATGTCCCTAAAAGTCAGATGCAAACTCCAAAGTCATTAATCAAGCACTATTACAACCTAAAGGTTGAGCAGAGCTTCTGTTAAATTTCTCATAAATGCTGTGCTGGGTCTCCTATTCCCCTCCCTCTGTATCATCTTCTGCCCAATCAAAGAACATGGATGGATGGAATGATGATTCTTTCTAGGTCCCCTGTAGACTCAAAAGAACATAGGGAGGGGGGTGGTAGTTTTGCTTAATATAGAAGAGAGGATCATCTGGAAATAAGCTTTCATAAAACCAAGTTTATGGCCTTTGCCAGGAGATCAAAGGCACACCTCTGACATATACTTGTGACATACAAAGGGAGCAAAGTTTAGTAAATCTCATGCTTTTAAGTGTGATCTTTTATGCTTCTGGCTCTAGGAAGCCCACAGCAGCAATGATCCCAAACACTGAGAAATATTACTGCTTAAAATTTATTTTAATCAAAATATAGCTTCTTGAGACCTGCAACCCTTACACTATCTGAAGAAAAGTCACGATGAAACTTCTTTATCTAACCATTTTGCAACTTAATCCCACTCCTTCACTGGCATTTGTCCAAATTCCATAAAACAGATATCTCACTGTATCTCTTAACTGCTGGTTTATAATTAAATGAAAGTGAAGTATGAGTATGGATGTTGAATTAATTTTTTTGGCCAAGACAGTGTTTTCCCCTATAGGCCTAGCTTCACTAATGCTGAAGGCAGGTCTCAGTCCTCCTGAAAGTGAATCTTGCAGGACAAATCATCACTTGGACTCTACCCTTCCATTTCATTTGCTCTGTGAGCAAGTGTATAATGGGGACACACTACCAAACTGATTCAAGCTACCAAGGAAAACCTAAGGTATAGAGTAATATTAGTTGCATACTTAAACCAGAGTTCCCCAACCTTTCTGGATTGGCGGCCCAGAGGGGGGAGAGGCAGGCGCCTTTATGAGTGCATGAGCACAGGCCAATGGGGCCACGAGCACATGTGTAACGCAAACAGGGCTGCAAGCATGCTTCACAAACGGCCGTGAACGTACCTATGTGGTGCTTGCAACGATGCTAGTGCCTGAGTGATGCACTGGCACATGCACAGCACAGCCACTCACATGGCCTGGTAGCCAACACAACATGGCCTGGTAGTGGGCTGCCGCCCACAGGCCGGAGACCCCTGCCTTAAACAGCTAGAGGGCCCTGATAAACAAGGATCTGGTTTGTTGCAGTGCCATTACTGCTATGATAGATGGGAGACACAGGAAGATCTTCTTTCAATAAGTTTGTCCCTGGAATGCTGGGGAATTGGAACTATCAGGCACATCTTCCTACACTGCTCATTTTAGATAGATGTCCAGAGTACCCTTCTTCTCGAACTATTCATTAGATTTATAAGTTTACAGAGCAAATCTAGATCTCCTAACAAATCTCTGACTCAACGCATAATATTGCCAAATTCTTGGCAGAACTAATCAAAAATTATCAGGAATTGATGGCCAGCCAGAGCTAAACAGACTTGACATATGCTATTATGCATATGGTGGTGTGGAGCCATGGTGACATAGTGGTTAGAGTACAGTACTGCAGGTTACTTCTGCTGACTGCTGGCTACCAGCAGTGTGGCAGTTTGAATTTCACCGAATCTCACCAGGCTCAAGATTGACTCAGCCTTCCATCCTTCCAGTGTCAGTAAAATGACGACCCAGATTGTTGGGGGCAATATGCTGACTCTGTAAACCGCTCAGAGAGGGCTGTAAAGCACTGTGAAGCAGTATATAAGTCCAAGTGCTATTGATATTATACTGCTGGTGCTTATTTCCAGAGAATTTGGTGGTGTAGCTTCTGTTGCCACAACTTAATTTTTAATTCATTTCTTTTTATAGGTTGCATACAACACACTTACTATTTTATTCATGCATTATATGCAGTTTTCAGTTTTATGGCTTTATTTAACCATCTTTTAGCTCTGAAGTCCCTGTTCTTGTATGTTCTAGATATAAGACTTTTTCTGTGATACTTATTGATTCTGCTGTATCTGTATTTTTATCTAAAGACCAAAGTAAAGATATCATATTATGTAAAATAGATACGGTAAAACACTTGGGATTATATTTAGTCAATGTTATTTTCCATTGTTCACTTCCAGATCCTTCAGAAACTTTTAAATCATTTCAGAAGAAACAAAGATAAAGTGCTTCTTTTTTCTTTTTCAACAAAGGTGAGCTATGTGATCTTAATGTAAGGCCCGGGGAATTATTAGTTATATTTCATTGATTACTGCTTTCTATCTTGAAATGACTATGCATGGAACAATAGAGAATGAAGCATCTTCAAATATTATAATTCTTCACAAGAGAAAGCCTTTTACATCATACATTTCTATTCTGATAACAACAAATCTATTCTTTGGGAAATGCTCCCCAAATGAGCATATAAGATTTCGTTCCTCATTTTCTCAAAACACTAAAATTTAGGAGCATTCATGGAAAATAATTCAGATTCAAAACCAAGAAAAGGAAATACAAAGTAGATATTAAAAATGTAGAATGCACTTGACTAACGTCAAATATAAAGGAACATCAATTTAGATATGTGAAATCAGCAAAATTTACTATGGTTGCATACATCCCCTGAATAACCACGCAGAATATCTTCAACTGCCAGAGGGTATTAAAGAAGATTATACTCCTGTTTGCGGTTTTAAGATCCCCAGTATATTATATTGTTGGCCCCTGTACATTGCAGATCCTGGATTTATGAGACCTTGGCTTTAATTCAGCAAGATCCTTCTTACATTCCTTGGTTCATGCAATAAAATCAAAATGTGTACATCATAATATGAGGATCATCATGTAGATATAATACATTTCTAAAACTGAGCATATTTCTTCAAGAAAAGTGACTAATACATGAATCACTTGTTAAATATAAAAGTTAATAGCTGTTTCCTTGGAAATAATCCCTATTGAACCCCAGGACATATATAAGATTGTGCTTCTAACTAAGGCCAAACACTTTGGTTTTGCTGCGTGGAATTCCTGCTTTTCCATTTTTGGGATATGACGTAGCAATCAAGATAAAGCAGTAATAACCATGTCGTAAGTCCCAAATGCTGCAAAGTAGAAATTCTACACATAATTGTCTGGTTTTTACAAATTCTGATGTAAATGTATGTGACAACATTGTTAAATTACAACATTGTTATATTACATGCTAGAGAGTGGGAAAATTTAAAAATTAATACTAATATAATAAATACAAACAATGGAAATGAGAAATATTTCTTTTAAGCCAGTATGTGCGATTTTGGAATGATGATGAAAAAAAAAACAGGTTATTAGGAGCTAGTAGTTGTTTTTTAATTGTTTAATTACTGCCTTTTCCATTAGTTACTTGATGTTCTGGAACAATATTGCATGGCATCTGGGCTAGATTACAGAAGACTCGATGGCAATACAAAGGCAGAGGACAGAGTCAAAATAGTAAAAGAGTTCAACAGCATGGAAGAAGTTAATATTTGCCTGGTTTCTACAATGTAAGAGAACACCATGTCTGCTTCTGTCTAGAATAGAAATGTACTGCAAATTTATTACACTCTTGATTGATCTTGCCTTTGTCACCTCCTTGGGAAGAAGCAATAATATTACTGTCAGCTACTATAAAACTGGGAAGTAGACTTCATCACTCAAAACTCTGAGGGTAGAAGTTAGAAATGAATCAAGTGCTTATGTACTACCATGTTTTTTTTAAAATTCTTCTCCCTTCCTGGGTTTAAATCTGATATCTGAAACTAGCGATGAATATTGTTAAATAAATAAGAGTTTTATATTGGCTTTAGAATCAAAATAACTATGCACAAGTTTTGAAAGATGTTATATTAAACTGTACTTGAATGAAGCCAATAGACAGATACACAAATCAGAATCGAGATAATTTATGCACAATTTTTGAAATATATATTCAAATAGTCTATTTGAATGAAGCTATAGACAAGTAAACAAAGTCAAAAGAATTAACACAAACTACAGCTATTAGTATATTAATGTAGGGCAATTAACTACTTTTAGTGCATAATACAGCTTCTCTTGCAATATAATGCCTAATTTACATTTCTGTGACACCATACCTAGACCATATGGAGTACCAGTTTTCTTAAACTACATCAAATAAAAGCTAAACATAAAGAACCTGCATCTACTAGAAGCTCCTGAACTACTTATACTAACAGTTCTAGCTTGATGTTCAGTGATGAGAGATGTTGAAAGTTATAGTGTCGCATATGCTTCTGTAGTATGATAGATAATCAGTCTCCATAAGCCATTTTCTTTTCTACTACAGGTCTTGTCCTCCCTCTATTCCCTGTTTTATAATGCTGATTAATTTCCAGCAAGGTTTATGTGTGCAAAACCAACTACATCTATGGCTCCAGTGTACTCTCTGTTTCAATCTTCTAATTAAGGACAGACTTTTTAGCTTCAAGACAAAGCAACACATATACTGTAAATAATCAAATTGCTTTTTAGTTCAGTTTAGATGAGTTTTGGTTTCCTAAGCCAAATACTTAGTAGCTTACAGACTTTAGAACACAGCTACATAATGTATTATATCAGGAAAAGTAGCCACTGTTTGGCTTATACAAAGCTCATACAAAGTCCATCAGTGATTCGGTAGTCTGTAAGAGATTTCTGCTGGTATCTATTATAATTCTGATAATACTATTTTGAGGGCATGAATTGATGAGAGGAAACCTTTAGTAGGAAGAGTAATCTCTTTTTCCCATTAAGGCACAACAAGATTATTCAGCTAAAAGTTATTGGAGCTAAGTACCAAAGAAGAAAAACATTGTTATATGTTAAAGTTTTTTATAAACTATTTTAGATATATTCTTCTAAATTTACTCAGAAATGATACTGCTTCAAAATAATTGTAAAAAACAACAACACTCAGTATAGTGCTCTGATTTTTAAAAAAGGAAAACCTATCACATGGTAATGTTACATTGACATTTCTGCACTAAAGATTATAAGTTATCTTAATGTGTCAGTAAGACTTGTCAATAACAATTAACTTAGTTGTAGAGGTACCTACAAAAAAATGAAAATTATGCTATGAAACAGGTGATGAAAATCCCAGTTCTCGCTTAAGTGCATCATTGCTATCCATTCTGATACCATCCCTGTATTCTTGCTAAGTAGTTTAATGTAAAATTATAATGCATCACAATTGCTTATGTGGCCTATTTTTTCCCAATTTAAAAATGGTGGAAAGGAAACATGTGAAAAATAGAAGATTGAGATAACTTTATTTCTTGAGTTTTTAATTGGTAACTGAAATGAACATGAATAACATCCCCTGGTATAAAATGGAAGAATGGTACATTCTTGGCAGAATACTTTTTCTTTAAATAGAGTAATAAATTTAATATAAATGTTAAGTTTTCCCCACATAAATTGGTGAAGAATGTAAACTTTATGTTGTTAGTCAAGTTATATATCTTTATATGTTACTGTAAAAATGGCTACTGTTTTCCCATCAGGATGTGAATTATGGAAGTGATACTCAAATGGTTCTAGGAAAATCTTGATTGACTATGGAACTGCAATATTTGTCTATAATAAAGAACTACCTTGTACTTTTGTTTAGTTTTGTTGCCATATTTTAGTTGCTGATAATTGTGAAATTGTCATTAATTTGTGAAGAGGAAAAAAAATAGAGCAGGAGTACTATATGGTACACATTGTTTTCTACTCTTGTATTTGTTCCTTACTATTTACATTTCTTTTCCTTATTATAAAGGGCTGGTGGATTGGGTCTTAATTTTGTTGGTGCTAATATAGTTATACTGTTTGATCCAACATGGAATCCAGCTAATGATCTTCAAGCCATTGACAGGTACATTCTAATTGTTAAATTGTTAAATGTTTTCTTTCTATGGTTGGGAAGTTCATCTTTATTTTAATCTTGAAAATAATGATTTTGCAGAGCATACAGAATTGGCCAGCGTAGGAATGTGAAAGTATTTCGGCTAATTTCTTTGGGGACTGTGGAAGAGATGATGTACTTACGACAGATTTACAAACAGGTAAAAGTTTTCATTATATTTGCAGTCATATTGGTTTCTTAATATATTGCTATAACTTGGCCTGTTTGTTGGAGAGGGGAAGTCAACCAAATACACCTCTGTAATCTTTAGCTTGGTTTGATAGCTTTTGGATTAATTTAATTCTGATTCATAAAATTCAGCATTTCTGCACTCTACTGTATATTGTTAAGGAAAAGAAATTCTGCCATTCACCCAAATGCATTTAATGAAAAAAATCTAATTTTATTTCATTACTATACCCACAATCACAATATATTTGTTGGGCTAGCCGAAGTGGCACAAGAGATTATGGAAACTTTTAAATTTCAACATTTCTTCAGTAGACAAGAGTCCCAAAACTCAGGGAATTTTCAGGCTCTTAGAGATGTAGTTTTAAAAGCACTCGTTGGTGGAAAGTTGTAGATTGTGAATGTGTTAGTCAATGAAAGATATCGGCATTTAGGACAAAGAATGATGGCTCTCCCATCCCGTTCTGAACTTTCTTCTACCCCAGTTCTGAAAACACAAAGTCTGTTAATCCCGAATCTCTTTCCAGCCATAGGTGAAGAATGGCATGATTTTGTTATGAATTTAAGAAATGTAATAGTCTTCCCAATATCAGCATACTATAGGTAGTCCTCGACTTACAACAATTCATTTAGCGACTGCTTGAAGTCACAAAAAAAAGTGACTTAATGACCATTTTTCAAACTTTGCAACCATTGCAGCATCCCTGTAGTCACGTGATCAAAATTCAGATGCTTGACTCATATTTATGACAATGGCAGTATCCCAGGGTCACGTGATCATCTTTTGCGACCTGACAGATTCAGTTAACGGCTGCGTTACTAATTTAACAACAATGCAATGATCCATTTAACAAATGTGGCAAGAAAAGTCATAAAGTAGGGCAAAACTCACTTAACAAATTTCTCAGCAACATAAATGCTGTGTTCAATTGTGGTCGTAAGTCGAGAATTACTTATATACCTGCATTTTTAATGCCTTCTTAGCTCAGATGTATTTTATCTTGACACCCCCCCCCCTCCAATGGCTATCTTGCAAAGCCAGGAAAAGGGGCAATTTCTCCAAGGGCAGCCAACAGGCAAAGAAAACTCTCCCATTTTCAATTTAAATATTGTCCAGTAATAATCAAACTGCTTTTCTGACGCAAAAACAAATCATGAAGCCATCAAGGATTTAGAGTGCAACAGAGGAGGAAGAAAAAAAACACCATCCCAAGCTCTGAATCTGGTTGTCGAATGTGATCTTTGCATTTGACTTATATAGGGGTTACAATATACAGCTTGACAGATTGCCTCTCTGTTGACAGATCCTGAAGTATATCCCTGCTGGCTATTAAATTTATACCTGCAGAAAGGAGAAAGGATGCTTTTTTTGCCGTGTCTCCAGGAGATTTTTTTCCTGCTGCGCTTTATAGTGCTCGGTCAATGCACATCTTGAGTGTTTTATTTATCTGTAGAATAAAGGGGAGAGGAAGAAGCTATTATGCTTCTTCTGAAATATTCTTGTAAAGTGCAGGTAGGGATTACTTGATCTCACTGCTGACATCTCTCATCTAGGATATTTACTGTTAACTATTAAGGATTTAAGAATGTCTATTCCTTCTTTCTCGTATTCTACCTTCCAGTTCCTGTTCTGCTCCTCAGCTGACATCCTAAAATTCCATGCCTCAACCATAAACGTGATATATTCACGCAGTCTGAATTTTGATCCTTCTAAATCAGACTTCTGATATCCTCCAGCTATGTTGGATTTCAACTCTCATCATCTCCAAGTAGTATAATCCATCACAGCTGGAGGACAACAGGCTGCTGGGGTAGTTTCCAGCACAGACCACAAAAAAGAAAACTGGAGAATACTACCCACAGAAATGAGTACTGTTGTGCTCATTAGGGTTCAGGACTGGGAAAGAAGATCACTGTCATAGAAGATCACATATAGTATCTAGAATCTACACAATATCTGAATTTGTCAAAATATAAAGCTTTTATGTGATCCTCAGTGCTCCCACTTTACATGGTGGAGGGAGAATAATTTGGGAGCTTTAAAGTTGTGTCACGGTTATACAATTTACTGGATTAAATTATGCTATGTGACATAGATTTTGGCTGATGACCAATCTAAATGTTTCCATATTTATGCAGTCTATTTTAGATGTAATTGTTGAAGTTATTGAATGTATAGGTTAGGGATGCTGTCTTTGCCATCTTATATCAGAGGCAGGCAATGTATCATTCATCTGCTTCACTTGCTCCCTTTACAAAGCCATTCCTTCCACAGAGCATCTTAGATCAGAACCAGAGGGATTAGGAGGAAGTGGGCTCTTGCTCTAGCAAAGGGAAACCTGGATTATAGTACATTGGGACAATTTTCATGGCCTTTCTGTGACCTAGCTTAAATAATACTTACTTGACAGTAAGCAGGTGAGCTTTATCTAGTATGTTAATATCATTTGCTATTCTAGCTAATAAAATATTGCAGTGGTGAAGATACTGATAATGATGATAATTATGCCCTGAACAGTATGTCTCTGTAACAGATTTTTAATAGATTTATTAATTTCATATATTATACAAAATAATAGGAAAGATCACACCTATGCTGTGCTATACGCTAGTGTGGTAGAACAATATCAAATCCACCGGGGAAAATAAAAATGTATTATTTCCTTGTTGGACATTCTGCTTGCTTTCCATAAACCTGTTTTGGTACCGTGCGTGTTTGGAAATTCTGCAACATTACTGGCATGTGCATTTGAAATGTGCGTGTTACTCTGTTTTAGCAACTGCATTGTGTAGCGATTGGAAGTAAAAATGCCAAGCGATATTTCAAGGCGGTTCAAGGATCCAGAGAGCATCAAGGAGAACTTTTTGGGATTCGTAATCTTTTCAGATTTCAAGACCATGGATCCTGTCTTACAAAAGAGATTCTAGAGGTGCTGTGCTTTTATTTGGGCTGTCTGAATATTTTGATTTACCCACCCTATTCATTTTTTATGTTACTGAATAATAACTTATTAGAAAATTCAAAAGAATATTCACTATGATAAAATCACAAATTCTCATTGCATGAAAATAGTTCAGTTTATTACAATAGCATTTTTCCATTCACTTAATTTTAACTGTACAGATTTACCCTACTGGGGAATGTGAATACATAATTCTTTTCTTTATCTTCATCTTTATGATTTGTTTATTTCCTTGCTCAGGATGTCAGCCACTCAATCACCCACTCTCTTCTGGGACATTTTATTACATATCCCCTTGTTTTATTTCTGCCAGATTTCTATTTTGGGTGGGTTATAATCCTTAGGGCTATGGGAATTTATTCTTACATCAAACATTGAAATTAGAAAACTTAGGAAGTTCCCTTTTATTGAGCTGGTACTTTGACAATCTTTTCAGACTTTAGTAAATGTGTCAATTGATATTCCCTATTCCCATTCCTTGAGCACAAATTGAAATCAGATTTCTTACATAGGAAATAAAGTCAGAATGTTTATACTATTAGTATACAATTTAGTGACATAGTCTGAATTTGTACACCAACTCAGGGATTGACTTATTTAAAATTGTTTTGCTGTTTTATAGAGAGAAGGCCAAGTAGAAGCTGGTGTCATGACAGCTGCTACATGGTTGAAAGAGGGATCCCAGCCTCATGAGGTAGAAATAATAAATAATAATATCACGAAACATGTTGTATAATGTTTTTGTAAATGTGATTTATAACATTTCCTTCTACAAATAAAATCTGAAGAAAACAGGAAGAATTAGAAAGAAATATTAGGAATGTGAGGCCATTGATATTCTGAATTCAATGCTTTTTGCTTGCATTATAATATACAAAGTTTATTTTCCAGTTCCTTTGACAGGTTTTGAATCTGGTTCATGAAAAGGTATGAATAGTATTAGATCAGTATTACATGGCACTGTAGAGCACAGCTTAAGCGGTACTAGCTAATACAGAGATATCTCATAACAAAATTAATGTACAGCCAGTTAAGATGGTTCTTAAAAGTTAAATAACAAAGGGTGAAGCATTTGATGTAACTATGGTGTAATAAACTACATTTGTTATTTTGTCTTTTACTGTCTTAATATCATGATTGTGCTTCAGTTCAAGAGCAGGAGAACGTTTTCCTCCTCTACTAAAATTTAGAATTCAGAATGTTCAGTCTAGTAATAGAAGTGAGAATTTATAATGATATATTGACAGCAACTTGCACAAGTAGTTCCATGAAATATAGAGGGTCTGATATATGATTTCTACTAGAAAATGATAACTTTCAAGAGCTGTATCATGAGAACATTTGCAAAGTTTATCTGAAGTAACCCCCTTGACTTTAGAGTTTATATTGTTTATATTTGGAGTCAAGGGGATTATTTATACATTGTTATTTTGCACAAAAAGAAAAAAATCTTGAAAGATTAACTGTGGAAGCTATGATGAAGTAAATAAATAACAGGTAGCTTTTTTGTTGTTACATGGTTATCCCAAGAATTTGAATAGTTTCTAAGGATTTTCTTTTCCACAACAGTCCATACCTGTTTAATATAAGTGCAGGCTGAATGCAGGCATAGCCAATGAACGCAAGACAACCTGCCAAAAAAACCGAGACAATTCTGTTTTTGATACTGTCACTTTTCTCTCCATCTCCCTATGAAACTGCCAACATATTTCACTGTATCTCCCAACTCTTGAAGTTATTTTTTTCAGGGAGCTACATGTGAAAAGAGAAATTAGAAAAATAACCCCTCTTCATCGCTGATCTACAAAACCAACCCAAGAGATGATAGCCAGGGTATACCTCACATATTAAAAATCATGATATGGCTTTTAAGCACTGACAAATACTTTTATGGCAGCTACGTATTTTTTAAGGGCTGATTATTATCAGTGATATTTAATGAAACATTTTAAACTAGTGGCTTCTTTTATATAGGAGACAGAGTGTGATTATGAAGATCAAGATACAAACCCATTAGAAAAGGAAGGACTTGAGTGTCCCAGTGACTTCAGTGATGAGGAGCATGAAGTCCAAGCAATAAGAAAGAGAAATTACAAAGCAAAACATGACAAAGTTGCAGAGGGACAGCTCAGTTTACAGCAGTGTGGATTTCCTAAACTTCTAGAAAAGAAAACTAGGATAGCTGAGGATGGCGGTTGCATCGAGATGTCTATTGATGAAAATGCTCATCACAGATTTATGAGAGAGAAATCCAGAGGAAAGGCCCAGAATGATGGTTCTGTGAAAATTGAAGGCAGGACCATTTCAGGATGTAAGAAAACCTTGCTGGCAACAATGAGTATGAAAAGACAAGAAAAATATGGTGAAATAGCAAATAGGGCTTCTCCTGTTTTACCATGCTTTGAGGAAGAAAAGGATCAATTGAAAAACATGCATAATTCAAATAAAGATGGAATAGTTATGGACATTGAAGACAGCTCAAGTGAAAATGATATTATCTTTCCTTCCCAATTTCCTAAAGGTCAGGAATCTATTAAAGTATTTCAAGAGACAGACAGAACCTGTGATGTTTTAGCTGCAGAAAAGATGCATTTACTTACACCATTGCCAAAACATTTGACTTCCGAGGAGAGTGATGTGAATGTTCTGCCTTTCAGTAAAATAAAACCATTTGAAAACATCCAAAAGATAACAGCTAGGAATGAAGTAAGTGATGTTAGTGACGAATCTGAAGATATTGAGATGTCCATTTCAGGAAAGCAGAAATTTACCAGCACTATGAAACAAAAACAATTCCAGAACAAGGAAAGAAATAAGTCTTCTACAACTGTTGTTCATAGATGCAGTCCAAGTAGGAAAGAAAGCAATGCTGATTCTCAAATTATAGAGGAATATTCATCAGAAGAAGAACATTTTCCAGTTAAGAAGGTTAATGCTAGTACAAAAAAACTAATGCTAAAGGGTAATAGGAATGGAATTGAAATGATGTCCAGGTTCTCACCATATCTCAATTTTCCTTCTATGACATTGAGAACACACAGTAATTCTAGCAGATGGCAGTCTTCTCTAAGCAAAGAGTCACCCTCAGGCCAAGGACAAAAAATAGGATCATTGGATGGACTTTTTGGTAATTATATTTATTTCACAAAGGATTTGTTTCTAGAAAATTACCATTTTGACTCAGGTTGTCTCAACTTTCCATCCTTCTGTATTGTCCCATAAATTATTATAAGTTAAGCTAACTACAAGGGAAACAAAACATTTCTCTTTACTAATGAAATATAAAGTTTACATTTTTTTTTCAAATTGCTAAATATTTAAACTTGAGAGATTAAAATGTACCATTAGCTAACTAGAATCTTTAGAATTTTTGAATCTGTAGTAATGAAAATTAACCTTGAGATTTTGTGAGGAATTTAATTTTAATGGAACATCCATCTACAAGTCAATCATATTGCAATCTTCAACCAATAATTTCTGTATTCTGTTTCAATTATCAGATAATGTTGCTGAAGTTCCATATGTTCATTCAAACCAACATGTGGTTGGCCCAAGCAAAGCTGAAAATAAAATGAGTCATTGGGCAGTCCGCGATGTTTTTGAACTACAACAATTTTCCCAGCTCCCAGCAAACATAGCAGTATGCAGAGCCAAGGTAAAGAGCAGGAACTGAGAAGTGTGTTTCTTTTGCTATTGTTGTTCTTTAACCTCAGTATTTTCCTTTTTAAACATGGCTTTTCATTGTTGACCACCGTGAGTGATCAAAGGCACAGTTCCTGGAAAATGGTGCCTACAGCAGACTCTTAACAAAGTGAGTGTTGCTATTTCTATATCGAGGGAGTAAGAAAATTATTATGGAAGTTTCACTGAGAAATACTTAACAGTATATGTCAGGTATGCCAAGGATATGGCATATATCCTTTTGCTGCAGTTAAAAAAATCAGAAAGGAACCTCCACATAGCTATTTCACATGTTAAATCAGAAACTTAAATCGATATGTTTTTTCTGTAATTTCCCCTTCTCTCCATCTTTTAATCAAAATACAACTTTAGGTCTTGTGAGTTAAAAGGTTACAGCTATAGCAGAAATCTTTTTTAGTTTTTTTGATGAATGTCATATGTGATTCTTAAATTTGTATCGGCTGTCCTATTGTATAATCTTGACAAGCCTGTTATATTATATTTGGTCCTTTAGTCTACAGCTTACAGTCCTTTCCTTCAAAACCCCTTTTGTCTTCTTCATTTCTCCGCTTTTGTGACTCACTGAGACATTATATAGAGTCTGTCTACTGGCTATATTGGCAATTGCTGCATTACAAACACTGTAATGTCAATTAATTTCTTGAAGCTTCTCCCTGAAAAGTTGAAACTATTGGAGAAAGGAAGGAAAATCAATAGGGAGATCCAGTGAAATCCTGTGTCTTGAGATAGAATGAAATAATCTAGAAAAGATTATCAGTCCTTCAGTGACAGGGAGATATTTTTCCCCCTTCCCTTTGCAAAAAAAAACCCCAGCATAGATATATGCCACTATATGGGCATGTTAATGCTGTGAATTTCATCACATTCTGTCTTGAAGTAGCAAAATTACAGGCATCTTAAAAACCCAGATTTGGAAAATGTAGTTTGAAAAGCTCTGCATTGATTAGCATTAAATGAAGCTCAAGATAGTGAAAGATCCAGAGACTTCCTGATGTGGTCTTTACTGACTTTAAATTAGAATTTTATTTGATTTCAAGGCCTCTCCTATAGGCAAAACTCAGAATAAGTTGTTGAATGATTCCTGGATTGGAGTGCCTATAAAGTGTTCTCTCTCTGTTGCCTCCTGATTAGTGTACAGTAGTCTGATGAGTCTGATCAGGCAAGTTGGGATATCAAGATCATGCAAAACTGTCCATATCTTATTTTGTTCTACACAGTCAAATGCTTTTCTGTAATCAGTAAAGCACATATAAGATCCTCTTGATATTCACATGCCTGTTCCATAATCCATCTAACATTGGCAATGTAATCATGAGTGCTGAGCCCATTTTAAAACCAGCTTGTAACTCTGGATCAATGACTTTTGTAGCTTCTGTTTAATGATTTTTAACAAAATCTTTCTTGCATGAGAAATCAATGCAACTGTGCAATGGAGCAATCACTTTTCTTTATTAATGGAATAAAACCAGATCTTTTCCAGTCCTGAGGCCATTGACATGTAGTCCATATCTCTTGACACCGGGGAATGATAATATTAAATGGCACTAGTCTTAGTAATTCTGCAGGTATTCCATTAACACTTGGGGCTTTATAGTTTGGCAATTTCCCTATGGCCCATTCTACTATTTTCAAGATTTTTGATTCTTTATTAATGGGGCTGTCATCATTGTCATCACGACGGTAAGTCAAACTGCTGTATATTCTTTTCAACTGTCCTTGATTTTCTGCTGGTCACTTGGTACATTTCCGTTGTGGCTTTAACAGTTCCTTGTCACCAGTGGTGGGATTCAATTTTTTTTTTCTGTGAGCGTGGCTTGGTGGGCGTGGTGTGGCTTGGTGGGCATGGCAGGGGAAGGGTACTGCAAAATCCCATTCCCTCCCCACCCCCACTAACCTGCTTTCCAGCTCTGTTCTCCTGTGCAGGGCAACAAAAGAAGACCCAGCTGATCAGCTGGGGCTCGGGAGGCAGACAATACATGGGGGCGGGGCCAGTCAGAGGTGATATTTGCCGTTTCTCCGAAGTACTCAAAATTTCTGCTACCGGTTCTCCAGAACTGGTCAGAACCTGCTGAATACCACCTCTGCTTGTCATGCTGAAAAGCTGAATTGCATCATTTTGACAACAGCAAGCATGATCTTAGTATGTCTTTTCCTATTAGCTTCTTCCAGATGTTGGCATTGCTTCTCCCACTGCCTATTTTTGTCTTTAGTAGCTTCATGGTCATTCAGCTTTTTCACTTTGTCCTTATTGCCTTTGGCTTTGGCTGCTCTTCACTGATCAGCTATTTTGATGGTGTCATCAGATAGTCACTTGTTCATTCTCTTTGGTTTTTGGTGTGACACATATTTTCCAGCAATTTCCATGATGTCACCTTGGATCTATTGTCACTGTTTATTAGGGTCGTTCCATTCTAAATTCAGAGGCTCAAAATGGAGATATGTTGTTCACATTGAATTTTTGGAGATTATCTTCACTTTGCACAGTTTGAGCTTCAGCTAGCCATTGATAGCTAATGGTCAGAGCTGCAATCATTATTAGGAAGTGTTTCAACAGATGCAATTGAACCTTTCCACTGTTGTTAGCATACAATGAAGCCTATCTGATTTTAATGTTGTCTATTTGGTGCTGCCTATGTGTCACTTGTGTTGTATATATAAACCACATGTTCAATATGTTGAGATGATTTTCCTGGCAAAATTGCACTAGGAGATTGCTGGCTTTATAATGTTCACCTAGCTCCAAACATGCCTACTATTCTTGAAACTTCTCCTTGTCCTAGCTTTGCACTGAAATCGCCCATAATATGTAAAAGATCCTTTTTTGGTATTTGCTTGACAGCACCTCAAAGTTCACTGTAAAAAAGCTCAAATTCATCATTATCTGAGTCTACAGTTGGGGGGTAGATTTGTAGTAAAAAATAAATAAAATATAGTATCTAATTGAGAATAAAACCCTACAATATATGGAGCTTTGCAAAAGCTATCAAAGCAGATAAACCAGCTTTTTTCGGTTCATAGTCTGGCTCACATGCTTCTTTGCCTCCACAATTCTTACAGAGGCCTTGAGATTTTCCCTTTGGGTTGATTCCTACTTTTCCATCTTCCCTTGTGTTCTAGTTCACTCACTTCACTGGTATGGGAAATATTTGTGTTGTAACATTTTGTAATTGTTGTTTCATTCTGGTGGTTCTTGTTTGTGAGGCTATAATCATATTGGACTTAGATTTATTTTTTATTTTATTTATTTATTTGGTTTGTCAATTGCTTACAAAATAACAGGTATAAGTAAAAACATAGTTATGAATACATGGATACATATAAGAAAAATAAAAAAACCAGTAGGACAGGGACAGTAGGCACATTGGTGCGCTTATGCATGCCCCCTACAGACCTCTCAGGAAAGGGGTGAGGTCAATAGTAGACAGTCTAAGGTTAAAGTTTTTGGGGTTTGGGGAAGAAACCACAGAGTCAGACATTGACCACTTTGTTACTGAAGTCGTATTTCCTGCAATCAAGTTTGGTGCGATTAACCTTGAGTTTGTATCTATTGTTTGCTCTTGTATTATTATGGTTGAAGCTGAAGTATTCACTGACAGATAGGACGTTGCAATGTATGATTTTATATACTATACTTAGATCGGACCGAAGGCGGCGTAGTTCTAGGTTTTCTAGGTCTAGAATTTCAAGTCTGGTGGCATAAGGTATTCTACAATGAATAGAGGAGTGGAGAACTCTTCTTGTGAAATATTTCTGGACTTTCTCAACTGAGTTAATATCAGATATGTAATGTGGGTTCCAGACTGATGAGCTGTATTCAAGTATTGGTCTAGCAAATGTTTTGTATGCTCTAGTTAGTAGTGTAATATTACCAGAGAAAAAGCTATGTAAGATTAAGTTAACAACTCTTAATGCCTTTTTGGCTATGTAGTTACAGTGGGCTCTAGCACTTAGATCATTAGAGATGAGTACTCCAAGATCCTTGACAGAGTTTGGATCATCAACAAGGTCTTGACTATTCAGTCTGTATTTTATTTTCTGATCTTTTTTTGCCAATATGTAAGACAGAGCATTTATTTGTTGAGATTTGAAGTTGCCATTTGTTTGACCATTCTGATACATAGTCGAGGTCTTTTTGAAAGGTAGCAGTATTGTCTGTGGTGTTGAATGGCTTTACATCATCAGCAAAGAGAACAAAATTGCTTTTAATATGATCGCAGAGGTCATTTATGTAGAGTATGAAAAGAGTTGGTCCTAGAACACTGCTTTGGGGGACACCACTGTTGACAGGTACAGAATTTGATAGATGAGAAGCAGTTTGCAGAATCACAGTGATTGGTAGGAATCATGTTTTGTTGAAGGAATATCTGTCTCCCACTCCTTTCCATTTATGGAATGAGATCCATGTCTCATGTTTTATGTTTCTTCTATATTTATTGAGTAGGAGTTCTTTACTGGAAATGAAACCTCAATCTTGGTGGAAAAAATTGCTTGGTGATTTTATTTATCATCTTTGCCTCTTACTTTAGCAAACCTAATAATCTCTTTGCAATCTTTAATTCTATATTTTTATGTGTAAGGCTAATTTTCATGTCCTCTGTTTACTTCTTGATGCATTGTTTACTTCCTCAGTGAAAATGAGTGATTTTGAAATGGCTATGGCAATGAGGGAGGCTTTCAGAGGGGAAGTAATTGTAGTGATATGTGATTTTAATCAATACCACAGAAACCACCATTCCAAAGAGGTTTAATTTTTAAAGAGATTTTAAGTGATTATATCCTAGTCATGGAACCAACCAGAAGGGAAGCAAGAGTAGACTGAATACCAAGCAATGCCTAGAATGTACTATATTAGTTAAAAGGTACGAAAGATAAGCACAGCACTATAAGATTGCAATTATGTTTAACTGCCACAGGAGATTAGTATATTCATATTTGAGTTAAAATAATGCTTTT